GCTCACTGCTGCCAACTAGTGGTCAGAGGCTGAACTACAACATAAAAATGAACGGCTGGCAGGAAAGTTGACATTTTAAACCTTAATTAAAAATCGATACAGGGCTTTAGAATATCGATACAGTATATCGATATTTTCTTACACCCCTAATCATTACATTAACAGTTATCAGCTAAAAGCCATAAATAATTATTATTTGTTTGGCCATAACTCCCCAACTCAGAGTATGTGTTGAGAATTACACTCATCTTCATCAACATCAAAGATTAGCTCATTATCTGTAAAACTGAGAGAGTTAGATCTGTTGTTGTGCTGGCTAATGATGATTCTGAATTGACCCCAAACGTTAACCCGTTGTTGTTGTTTAGCTCTTTCCCTGAGCATCAAATTTTTGTAGGTTACAACCTTACACATTTTCCCACCTAAAGAGATTTAATACGTTTGTGTTAAAAGAGAATATCAAAAATACAATCCTAACACATGAGCAGAACCTACCTGAGGACAACAACAATAGGACTTTCACTGCCAGTGACCACCATCAGTCCCTTCCAGATCATCAGAGCAGAGGAAACTATCATACCAAAGTTCAGCACCTGGTAATACAGCTGCAAGAAAAATGTTTCATTCAGTAAGCACACTCTTCATCATGTTTAAAATAAACTACCATAAGACCAACTCAAAGTCACAAGTAATTTATTAGAGCATATCTACAGTCAGGTTCATACAACATATGTTATAGTAGGAAAACAGCTAGCTACACAATGCAGACAATGCTGCTGTTTACACAGGGTTTGCACATTTCCTAATTATGCAGCGACATAAAAATAGATTTGAAAGAAGCATAAAAGTAAAACAGTTCAACAGTTCTGCAGCTCCCTGAATACAGACAGGCTGCAACGTAAGAAAAAGCGGTTAGAAGCTAGTTGCGGTTAGCTCTGAGGCGTGCTTCCGTACAAAGAGACAAGAGTCTTTGAGGCGGAAACTAAAGCTGCGATACTTACCTGCCGCTTATTCATGCGACGTACATCGTCTAGAAAGTCTAAAGATAGCATTATTGCAAATACTAAAGAGTACAAACTCCGGAAAATTCACATCAACGCGTTAAAAGTAACTAGCATATGGAGGAACACAGTAGTAACTCGCGTTCTTCCGGGTTTGCTCGACCGGAAGTCCCGCCTCCGAGGTCGTCATGTCGAGGTGTCGCTTCTGGATACGAGAGTTCAGAGCAGAGGGGCTTTCCCCAAAACTAACTCAAACAACCTTGTTTTTTTTTATCTAAACTATCACATTTTATTTTATTTTATTTCATTTTACATTTTTATTAATTTATTTAAAACAAATCAATTCTATAAACAAATATAAAACAGAAAAACACACACAAATACAAAGAAACGAAACGAAACAGAGAGAAGAAAAAAATCTTATACATGCCCCTTTTTTCCCTCAAGTATAAACTCAAACAATATTAATCTTCAATTAAAATGAAACAAAACATAAAAAGAACATCAAATCCTTCTAGAACACAAATTTAAACAAATAAACTGTTTCATATTTCTTCAAAAGCCCAACTTTCATAATTTTCTTAAACATGTGTATTGATCTAGCATTTTTAACATCCTCTTCCAGATTATTCCACAATCTGACTCCTTGGATTGAGGTGCACCTTTCTTTCAGACAGGTTCTACATTGATGCTTCATGAACACCTCTATTCCCTTTAGGTTATAACAGTTCTCTCTCTTAATAAAGTTTATCTGAATGTTTAAAGATAATATATTTTGGTGAGCCTTATACATAACTAATAAAATGTTATAATCAACCAAATCGTAGAATTTCAATAATTTCAATTTACAAAAAAACGTATCAGATGGATAATAGTAATGTTTTCGAGTGATAACTCTTTTAGCTCTTTTCTGCAAAACAAAGACAGGATTTCTGATAGTTTTACATGGTTTCCCCCATAACTCAACACAATAAACTAAGTGTGGAACAATTATTGTATAACACATACAGAGCTTTATCATTAAACAAGTCCTTTACTTTGTAAAGCAATGCAATAGATTTAGCTATTTTCATTCTTAAATAACTTATATGAGGTTTCCATGCTAGTTTCTCATCAATGATAACACCCAAAAACTTTACCTCACTGACTCTACTAATCTCTACACCATCATCTCTAAATGGAATTTTAGCAGTTCTTTGTCTATTTGTAAATCAGATAATTAGTTTTATCCAGATTAAATGATAATTTGTTACGCTTAAACCAATTTTGTATTTTTACAAATTCTATCTGCATCATGTTTAACATTCATTCTGTGTTTTTACCCAAACAAGCAGAAACAGTATCATTTGCAAATAAAACACTTTTGAAAAGCCCTGACGCATTAACCAAGTCGTTTACAAGATAAACAACTTTTGTCCAAGTACAGAACCCTGAGGAACTCCACATGTAATCTTACAGAGTTCAGATTTTATTTATTTATTTTTTATAGTATTTATTCATTTCATTTTAAAAAACAAAACAAAAAATTACATACAACAAAAAAATACAAATAAAATAAAATGAAAGGCAGCAGAAGAAAAAGATCTAAAGATCTTACATCGTGTACTTGTACAAACTGTTTCCTATTTTCCAAATAACTAGATTTCACATACAT